AGTGCTCACACTCTTGATTGTCTTTGAGACATTTTTTTCAATTTTGTGAAGAAAAGTCAGTCTGTGACTTAAGCTCCAGAGGCAAAGAGTTCCAGAGATGTGAGGCTTTCACTGAGAAGGCGGACTGACGGCATGTTTGGAGCCGAAACGGTTAAAAAGAAGGAGCGGTTAGCATCAGGTGCTCTCGCCCCCTACAAAGCCGCCGCCAGGCCGCCCTGCTGGGGCCGGAACCACCCATGTTCACCAGGGAAAAAGGCCGAGTTCCCTGCTTCCCGTCCGGCCTGAAGCCCTCAGACACTTTTCAGAGCCGCAAGAAGAAGTGAAAGAGGAGGAGGCCTTAGTCCCAGAGTTCCCCCGTGAAGGAAAGTGATGCCTGACAGCTTCTGCTTCCTGTTGGAGGCCAGTGGCCGACGCAGGGACTCTGTATTCTGCTCAGAAGCACAGTGGCCTGAAAGGAGGCCGCCAGGGGGGCCAGGCCCTGCCTTGGCTTCAGTTTAGGTCCACAGGCCAGTGTGAGTTTGGTCCAAAACCAGTTTGAGTTTGGGCCAAAGGCCAGTATGGGTTTGGTTCAAAGGCCAGTTTGGGTCCAAAGGCCAGTTTGAGTTTGGGTCCAAAGGCCAGTTTGAGTTTGGGTTGGGCCAGAACCAGTTTGAGTTTGGGCCAAAATCAGTTTGAGTTTGGGCCAAAACCAGTTTGGGTTTGGGTCCAAAGACCAGTTTGGGTTTGGTCCAAAACCAGTTTGAATTTGGGTCCAAAGGCCAAACTCTTTAAAAACAGGTTCCCCAATTGACCAAAATCTTTTTAAAAAGGCCACATCTCTCCACCTCTTCTCTCTTTTTATCGTTTCAGCTGGCTGGTGGTCGAATACGTTTTTTTTTGTGGCCTTTTAAATTAGACTAAGATGGTTCTGTGGGTCCATATTTAGGGAAATAATTCAAACCGAATTACAACCGTATTACAGAAGGGTCCAAAAATAGCACAGCGTAAGGATTTAATTAGGAGCCCTTCCCATCCAGCCCCCCCCCCCCTGCGTCTCCACCTCTGGTTCAGAAGCTGGCGGGATGTTTTTTCAGCTTGTGCTCCAGCTCTGACTCCCTCATTCCAGCCGCCGTCCAGAGGGCAGATCCTCAACCGAAGCTTTACCCCGGCTGCTCCGGGTGGGCTCCCCCTGGCCAATCAGTTGGGTTGCGGGCGGCGCTGAATGGGGGCCATTGTGGCGTCTTAATTAGTTTTTGATGGCGAGTCCTCCGGTAGGCAGAGCAGATGCTCCGCGCCGGCGTCGGATTTCAGCGCACGCTTTAAGCTCTTGAGAGCAGCTACTGCTGGTCCCGGTCCGGGTCCCAAACGATGGCCGACGAGGCCACTCATTCAACAGCTGCCCGGCCGCCAGGCGCATCCACCCCCCACAGAAACGGCCAATTGGTGCCAAAAAGGGGCGGAAAATGAAAATGAACCGAAGAGTTCAGGAAAAGCCGGCCAGTGAGGTCTGAGGGACGTAAACGATTCATTTAGCGCTGCCCGGTGGCTTTTGGCCTCATCTGGCGTGCAGATTTCAGTTAATTTAAGCAGAAAAATAGAAAAAAATGGCCAGTTGGTGCCCAATAAAGGGCTGAAAATGAGAAAAGAGTTCAGGAAAAGCCGACCAGTGAGGTTAGAGGGACCACTGGCGTTTGGCCTCATCTGGCGTGCAGATTTCAGTTCATTTAAGTAGAGAAATACAAAAAAAAAAAAAAAAAATCAAGTTCTAATAGTTTTCTCGGGTTATTATTCAATTGCAGAAGTCCCATGTTCACATTTAACCTCCACATTACACACAATGTCCGATTGTGTTGGCATAAAGAAATTAGCCAGCGCCTGAAAAGCCTTTTGTCTTTTCCTGCACTGCTCCTTTAATAGCTTGGCACACATATTCCTGCCCCCCCCCCCCCCCCCCCCCCCTTTAATCCACTCCTCTGTTCTGAGGCTTATAGGGCAGCTCAGCCCTCCTGACCAGCCCGGATCAGGTGAGCTGGGAGGAGGCCTTTAAAAGGCTCTGAAAAGGAGCCGCGGCCTGACTGACCAGAGGCCCCCGGCTCTTTTTGGACTCTTATGTCCACTGAAATTTGGAAACGGGTCGCCATCCCTACTCGTGTGCACATTTTCCCTGCTTGAAGGGTGTTTTATGGAGCCTCCTGTGGTTCCGGTCTGGCTCCGCTTCTTCAGGAAAATGCTCTGTTCATCCCTCATTATCATAAAATATTTACAGTCATTTTATACCAGGAGCTATAAGTAAAAATAGAATGGCCACATAGGTCAAATGAATAATTGACTGCTTTAGGAGCCTCGTGGTTGCTGGAGAAAAAGGAAAATGGAGGGCGATGAGCGTCGGAAACTGTGTGAAATCGGTAACTGGCTTCACATCCGGATCCAGAGGAGCTCGTGGTGGGCTCTCAGGTCCAGATGCTGCAGAAGCAGCCCAGACCATCACGCCTCCCCCGCCGTGCTGCAGCCAAACCCCGTTCAGCCCGTTCCTGCTCCTCTGAGCTGCAGCCTGACAGCTGTTTCCTGCAGCTGTGGGCGGCCATGTTGGATCCTGAGGCTCCTCTGGTGCTCAGAGTCCCAGATCCAGAGGTCTGGGGGGGCGTTCTGCTTCCTGTTTCCAGCTTCCGAGTCCACATGAGTCCCACTCTGTCCCAGATTGAGTCCTGATCCAGAAGCTGCTCTGAGCTCAGAGGTTCCCCCCCATGCAGGACCCGACCAGGTTTTTAGAGCCCCCACATGCAGCTCTGGGGCTCTAGAGGACCAGAACCTGGTTTTTAGAGTAGAGAAAAAACTATTTTAGCTGGATTAAAACGGCATCAGAGCCTCTTTTCAGGACTGTTGGTAAACTAGAGACATCGACCACTTTTTTTCTGCTTTAAACTGAGTTTCTCACTAAGTTTGAAGCAGTTTTTCAGTTTTAAACTGAGTTTCTCTTAAAGTTTCAGGCCGTTTTTCTGCTTTAAACTGAGTTTCTCTGTGAGTTTGAGCCAAAACGATGCTGTTTTTCTGCCTCGAATTCAGCTTTTCAGCCAAAACGTGACAGTTTTTCTGCTCTAAACTGAGTTTCTCTGTGAGTTTGAGCCAAAACCAGGCCGTTTTTCTGCCTCAAATTGAACTTTTCAACCAAAACGTGACAGTTTTTCTGTTTTAAACTGAGTTTCTCTGTGAATTTGAGCCAAAACGAGGCTGATTTTCTGCCTCAAACTGAGTTTTTCAGCCAAAACGAAGCCATTCTTCTGATGCCTGGCCTTGTTGAAATGGCCGCTGACTCTTAACTCCCAGCAGGGACTGAACAATGTGAAAGAGGCTTTAAACGGCAGAAACGTCCTGGAGCTGCTTTTCATCCGAATCCAGGATCCGCTCTGGAATGCAGGAAGCGAGCAGCTCTGTAATTACCCTTCGGCCTTCCTCTGGAGGCCTCCGATTGGCCGGCGGGGGGCGGGGGATCTCGGCGGCGGCCAATCGCAAAGCCCCGTCTTCTCCTTGGCCGGAGCCGACTGTGCCAAGAGCTGGAAGAGCTCAGAGGCTGAATGGGAGGAGAGGGAGAGAAGCTGAGAGAGGAGCAGCTCTTTACGCACCCTCCCTACCCCCCCACCCCCCCTCTCCTCAGAAATGCAGAAAGAATGCCTCGCCACCCTCAGAGCCTGTGCTAGGAGGCAGAAAACCAGGCTCCAGCCATGCGTGCGCCCTCTGAAAGCAGCCAGAAGCCTCTCAAAGCGGCTGAACCGCTGCCGTGTGAAGGAAAGCTGCTGTTTGTGGTGTCCACATGTTGTGCCTCCACACAAACGGAGGCGGTGACTCAGCCACCTGAACCCTCTCTGAGGGTCATGTCCCAGCCGGTCCCTCCGGTCACCAGCGGGTTGTAGTCCAGCAGAGCTGCATCACGTTAAGACGATCCAGACTGTTTTCAGCCGCTGTTCCAAGATGGAGGAACGAGCTACCAGGCGTTACAAAAGCCCCCAAAAGAGCTTTAGTGCCACAAAACAGCTTTAAAAGCCACAAAACAGCCCTAAAGCCCCCAAAACAGCTTTAAAATCCCCCAAAACAGCATTAAAGCTCCAAAAAACATTTTTTAATCCCCCAAAACAGCTTTAAAAGCCACAAAACAGCTTTAAAAACTAAAAGAAACGGCTTCAAAAGGCCCAAAACCGCTTTAAAAGCCCCCCCAAAATGCTTTAAAGTCACAAAACAGCTTTAAGATGGAGCAAGGAGCTACCAGGCCTACCACAGCAGCATCTCCATGTTTCTCTTCATAAACTCCTTCAGATCATCTCCTATCCTAACTCATCCCCAGACCTCTGGACCCTCTACTCCTCTTTCTGTGCTTCCCTCTATCTCCTCCTGTCTCCACTGACTCTGACTGGGGGTTTTCCTCCAGAGAGCTGATTTTCAGACTGATGAGAACTGGAACACTGGGTCTGCTTTGGGAGTCGCTTTGGATAAAAGCCTCTCAATGCAAAAACATAAACATTATAGGGTAGAAAAAATAAGTAAATATTGCACATTTTATGGTAAAAACAGTAAATAATGCACATTGTAGGGTAAAAAAACATAAATTTGGCTCATATTGGGGACAGATGTAAATTTAGCTTGTTTTATGGTAAAAAAAATTCTGTAAATTTCACACATTTTAGGAGAAATAAAGTAAAATGCCATTTTGCACATTATAGGGTGTGATATTGTGCATTAAAGGTAAAAACTGTAAATTTTCTAAATATTCTAAATTCAATCAGCCCAAAAAGTCTCAGGTCTACGACAAGCCCCTCCACTCATCTTTCTTTGCTTCCCTCTATCTCCTCCTGTTTGCACTGACTCTGAGTGGGGGTTTTCATCCAGAGAGCTGATTGTCAGGATGATGACAACTAGGACACTGGGTCGGCTTTGGATAAAAGCGCCCTAAACAGAACCATAACTCAGGAAGAAGAGTCGGTGTGACATGGGCTTGCTGACACGCTGCTGCTGTCCGTTTCCTATTTTAGGAGTTCGCCGCTCTAACAAAGGAGGTGAACATGTGCCGGGAGCAGCTTCTGGAGAAAGAGGAGGAGATTGCAGAGCTGAAAGCGGAGAGAAACAACACAAGGGTTGGTACAACACACACACACACACACACACACACACACACACACACACACACACGGACACACAAACTTCCCTGGAAATGCCTCACAAACAGAGAGGGTGCTCGGAACACACCAGTCTCTGCCTTTTAAGAGTCCAGCCCGAAGCCCTGGCCATAAAAATCTGCAGCAAACAGCCCTGTGAAGCAGCCACAGACCTCAGATTCTCTCTGGTTTTAACGGGTTTTCATTGCACTAAACAAGTAAACACACAAACATTCTGGTTTTACTTCCTCTTTTCCGATCAACAAAGCTGTGGATGATTGTCATGCCATAGTTGAGGTTTATTCATATTTTTTGTGAAGTTATTTCAGATTAAATTGTCAAACTACATGTAGAAATAAAGTATGAGGAATAACAAGTGGTGCTGTGATGGATTATTAGCTAACAAACTAACAAAAAACAAGCAGTATTTTAAGATAAAATTAATATACCTGAGTGGTGCATCATGGGAAGGAAAATGGATCCTTACTGTTCTAAAGAGTTCTGAAGAAATTAATAAAACACAGCCATATTAAAGCTATTGCTACTTTTTTAGAAACATTTAGATGAAAAAATTAAATATATTTTTTGCACATAAGTAAACACACCAACATTATAGTTTTACTTCCTCTTATCTGCTCATCAAAGCTGGGGATGATTCTTATCATGTCATAGGTGAGGTTTATTCATATTTTTTGTGGACTTTCATCAGATTAAATTGTCAAACTACATGTAAAAATAAAGTATGAGGGATAAGCAGTGGTGCTATGATGGATTATTAGCTAAGAAACTGTATCATGGGGGGAGGAAAATGTATCTTTAGTGTATTAAAGCAGGTCCCTGAAGGATCCCGAGTTCTGAGGAAATGAAATAAAACACACAGCCACATTAACAGTATCCTTACTTTTTACATTTAGATTTTATAGAATGATACGTTTTTACTTTAAGATACTGAGAATCTCAAAAGAGGCCCCAAAGAGGCCCAGAGAAACCTCTAAAAACCAGAGCTCCAGAAATGTGAGATGTGAGATGCCGTTTCAGCTGGAGGCTTTTTCTGCTGCCCTTCCAGCTTCTCCTGGAGCATCTGGAGTGCCTGGTGTCTCGCCACGAGCGCAGCCTGAGGATGACGGTGGTGAAGCGGCAGGCCCAGTCCCCGGCCGGCGTCTCCAGCGAGGTGGAGGTCCTCAAAGCCCTCAAGTCGCTCTTCGAGCACCACAAAGCGCTGGACGAGAAGGTAAAACCGACCAACTGGCTGAGGGCGGCCGAAGGAGGCCGAGGCCGGCGGGGGCTTTGCTGCTAACCTGTCGTGTTTCCCAGGTGAGAGAACGGCTGCGGGTGGCTTTGGAGCGATGCAGCGCTTTGGAGGAGCAGCTCACCATGTCACACAAAGAAGTAAGAAAGCAGCAACCGAGAGGACAGGAATCCCACCGAAGGGCGGAGAGATGTGTTGAGCAGGGCGGTCGGGATCTAAACCGGTTTATCGGGCAGCCACACTCCTTTTTATCCAGAAACGTGGTCACACAGCCACACAATAACCACACAACGGTGGCAAGGCCAGTTTATTCCACAGCCCATTTCGTGTACAAGACGATTCAAAATGCTTCACAAGGAATTTAAAAGCAGAAAAACAAGAAAAGAAAAAGAATCAACAATTAGAAAGATTAGATATAGTGAAGGGTGCAGATGAAATCCATTCAGTTTCCATTCGCCTAGTTAAACAGAAGCGTTTGCAGCCTGGATTCAAACATTCAGAGTTGGGTTCTGTCTCACGTTCTTCAGGAAGACTAATACAGATTTTAGGTGAATGGGGCTGGACCATGGAGCTCTGGGCCCCAGCAGGAGACCAGAACCTGGTTCTCAGAGTCCAGCCGGTTCATCTGGCTCTAACACGTCAGAGGCCTGAACACTAGCAGAGCTGTTTTAGAGTCTGTTCTCTGAGTGACAGGAAGCCAGAGCAGAGACCTGAGAGCTGGACTGGTGTGGTCTCGTTTCCTGGTTCTGGTCCGAACAGCTGGATCACAGCTGGTTTTGAACCCAGTGAGCAGCCGTTGCCGTAGTCCAACCTGCTGGAGACGAAGGCTTGGATCAGTCTTTCTAGGTCTGGTTTAGACACACAGAGGACAGTCAGGCTAGTGAGGATTCACTGAACTGTCACCAAAATGTAAGACCAGACAGGAGTCACAAGCCGTTCCACTTTCTAAACTTTAGAAAGCAAAATGCAGCCTCTTTTGGGGTTCTTTTTCTGAGCACATCCTGCTGAGAAACCGGGCTCCGTTAAACTGTCTGTAGCTTCCAGGTGTGTCCAGGTGTTTGTCCCTGGTAAAGGAAGAAGCATCTGAGGCTTTTTTTTTACTGTAAAAGAAGCCAAATCTGCCAGATTCACTATTAAAAGAAACCCAATCTTCCAGATGCAGCAGCATCTGAGGCTTTTAGCAGATCTGTGTCTCAGTCTGACTGTGCTGGGTTTTCAAAATGTACAATCTTTGGGGTTGAATAGAACGAGAACAGGCCCACTTTCAGGAGCTCTTTGTGCTTCCTTTTAAGTGGAGGAAGGCTCCCGACTCCTCCGTGTGCTGAATGGGATTAAGATTGACTAAAGGCCCAGAGGACGTCTGAGATTTGTCCCAGATTTCCTCCGTGCCCGAGCGGGGAGTCTCGCTTTGTTGGCTCCATTCAGACACACACGAGGCCAACCAGGAAACTTCTTTATCTCCCAGTGTGGAGGGCGGGCTCTTTTGGAGGCTCACTTCTAGAGAATGCCCTGAAATGCTCAGGAATTGTGCTCCTTAGATTCCTTAATGCATGTAAAATAAATCACAACTTCATGAGTTCATTGGAGTTTTATGGATATTTAAAGTCGCTTTGATCAACACAGAGTGGAGCACAATACACTCACAAATGCACACCCCTGGCATGTCCCCGACACACAAACTGAAAGCCATAAAATAATCGAAACGGGCCAATGGGAGCAGAGCATGCTGTCCCATGTGACCTTAGAAAGGAGAGGATGCTGTGTGTGATCCAAATAAATGGGGCAGCAACATCGGCGTAGGGTATTCTGTAGAAAATCACTGAAAAATCAGCTTTTTAGGTATTTCAATGAAAGAAGTCATTGAACAATCGGCTTTTTTAGGTGTTTAGATGAAGGAAAATCATGACAAAATCAGCTTTTTAGGTCTTTAGATGAAAGAAAATAATGTGAAAACAGTTTTTTAGGTTTTCAGATGAAGGAAAATCCATGTTGTGTTCAAAGAGATCAGAAATCTGAGCTATTCCATGATGTGTCAGAGCTCCAGCTGTAACTCTGCTCAGATAATGTCCTCATACAGCTTCAGGGCTTCATTCAGGTTCTGACCCACTGTGGGAGCTATGGAGGTTTCTGACTCAGATATTGTTGCTGGATGGATGCTAACAGGGTTATCTTCAGGCTAACAGAGCTAGCTTCATGCTGAGGGCAGCAGGGCTGAACAGAGTCTGGATCAAATGGAAGGCCTTCCTGGGGGGGGGGGGGGGGTGGGCGGGTTCCCGCTGTCTTAGCCGGTTCCTGATCCAGATGTTTGGGTGAGGGAGGGGTCAGCAGAGCAGGGCGCTCACCGTCTGCTATGTCCTGCAGCTGGCGTTCCTCAGGGAGCAGCACGGGCAGAAGAGAGGGCTGGCCGACGGCACCAGCGAGGTCAACCACACCTCTGAAAACACGCCCAGCACCAACGGGAAGGTGAGCTCCCCCCGACGGCCTGATGGCCACCACTGGTGGACAGTGACAGAGCACATTTATATGCTTACTGTACTTATTAAAAATGTATTTCTTTGTATTATTTTATTGTTTTATTATTTTATTTGATTATTTAGTTGATTTGTTTATTCTTTAATACTTTATTGTTGAGGTTTTCAGCTTTGGCATAACAGCACAACTTAGTCCCATTAAAATAAAATAAGAAAAATATAGAAATATGGAAAATTATATGAATGTAATCTAACAGAGATTTTTTTTTTTATTTTAGATGTGACAGCTTGTTTAGAAATCAGGAAAACAAATGAGTAAATAAATAAACATACCAGCAAAGGAAATAATATTATAATGATTATAATTATATAGTGTATATGGTATAATCATATCTAATAAAATTGTATAATATATTATAATTATATGATATAATGATTATTATAATAATATAATAATATGCTGGCAGTGACCAGTTTCTCATATATACCAAAGTCTTTCAGCAATCTGGGCTTTGGTTGTTTTTTTGGTTGTTTTTCGGTTGAAAGAAGTGTTTTATTTTGTAAACAACATTTTTAATTAAAACAATATAATTCAACTCAAATACCTTTAAATGCACATACCTTTGAATACTTAAATCATTTTAAATGCGTGTACTTTTGAATACTCAAGTTATTTTAAATGCACTGATATTTGAATACTTGAATAAGTATTGTCAAAAGTGAGTACTTCAGAACTTTAACTTGAGTAGATTTTTGACTTTTTCTTTTAGTTTTACTTGTAGTTGAATATGATTTGACCATGAGCATCAGTACTTTTGATTCTTTATACTTTAAATTACTACCGTTGAGAACCTTCTCTGACGCTCTGTGTGCCGGCAGCGCTCATCGGACGGCTCGCTCAGCCTGGAGGAGGAGTCCACGGCCGGCTTTGGGAAGGTGGGCGAGCTCCAGGAGGTGGTGGAGCGCCAGACGGCCGACCTGGGCCAGATGAAGGAGCGCATGGCCTCCATGGTGGCGCACATCAGCGAGCTGGAGGAGGACCTGGACACGGCCAGGAAGGACCTGATAAAGTCTGAGGACATGAGCACCAGGCTGCAGAGGGACCTGAGAGAGGTGAGGGGGAACGGGGCGCCGGCGGACAGCAGGAAGGGCTCTGATTGGACGAAAGCAGGGCAAACCTGGGCTCAGGCATCCAAACGGGCCAATGGGAGCAGGGCATGCTGCCCCATGTGACCTGAGAAAGGAGAGGATACTGTGTGTGATCCATTTGAATGGGGGGAGGAACATTTGGGGAATTCTGTGGAAAATCACTGTAATATCAGCGTTTTAGGTCTTTAGATGAAGGAATTTATTTAAAATCAGCTTTTTTTTGTGTTTAGATGAAGGAAAATCATGGAAAAGTTAGATTTTTCCAGTCTTTACATGAAGGAAAATTATTGGAAATTCAGCTTTTTAGGTCTGCAGATGAATGAAAATCATTGAGAAATCTGATTTTTAGGAGTTTAGGTTAAGGAAAATCATTGAAAGATGAGCTCTTCTTTTTGTGGGAACTTTTGAAGGGTTTTATGTCAAAATGACAACAGCTGGGATGCTTCCAGCTCTGCTGAAGGTTCAGACAGGCTGGAGTTACGGTGCTGTTCCACCAGTACTGTTGTCCCCAGTGGAGCTCAGGGAGAGGACTGGGTTTCAATCCAAACCCTTCAATGCAGACACCTTCACTTCAACATCCTTTCCAGTGTAAAAGAAAAACTTGAAAACAAGTTAAAGATCACTCTAATGTTCTGCTACATGCTGAGGAGCTTTTCACTTAGAGGTTTTACTTTAGAAAAATAGACATGAGCATAGCATTGATAGCATTGTTGTAGTGATAGCATTGGCATAGTGTTAGTATTGCTAGCATTGACATTGTCATGGTAACAGCATTGCTAGCATTGATCGCATTGGCATAGTGTTCGCTTTGATATCATAGTGTTAGCATTGATACCATAGTGTTAGCATTGCTGGCGTTGATTGCATTGATAAAATTGACATAGTTAAGGCATTGATAGCATTGGCATTAGGGCTGTCCCGTTCCAGCTTTTCTCACTTCCGATCCGATACCGATATTGTATTTGCACTTCCGATCCGATACCAATCCCATTGCTCGCGTTAATAGCATTGTTAGCATTGCTAGCATTGATACACAGTCGGGTGTTCCATCAGATTAGTCGTCTTTCCAGCTCTAGTCATCAGGACTTTTTTTTGCATATATTGGCATCAATTTTGCGACAATGGAGCCGCGCTTTTGACCTCCGTGGCATTTTTTCAAAAACGATGCACAACTGCAGTTCACATCTGAGATCCACATGAACCCGTCTTTGTGTGCAGTCCATGGCTCAGAAGGAGGACATGGAGGAGAGGATCACCACCCTGGAGAAGCGCTACCTGGCAGCCCAGCGGGAGGCCACCTCCGTCCACGACCTGAACGACAAGCTGGAGAACGAAGTGGCCAATAAGGAGTCTCTCTTCAGACAAGTAGGTCCCGGTCAACTTATCGGTGGATACTAGGGCTGGAAAAACGGTCATGTTTTAAACCATTAATCTAGCTATAATTTTTTTGATGCATCAATTAATCAAAAGACTCATTTTTCTATTCAATTTCATTTTTTATTTTTTTATTTAGTTATTTTTTTTAAAGATTTTTTTGGCTCTAGTGGCCTTTAATGATAGTAGCTTGACAGGAAAGGGGGCAGAGATAGAGAAGGGGAGACCTGCGGGAAAGGGCCATGGGCTGGATTCGAACCCAGGCCGCCCGCTTGCGAGCAGATGCAGATGCATATGGTCCGCCCGCTGTACCCATTAGGCTACAGCTGCGGCCCTTCTATTCAATTCCATTTCAATTAACAATTATTTTGCCATTATTTCACCGATATAGACATTTATACATGTTGATTTACGCATCAATGGGGAAAAATGCATGTTTATTGCTCTTAAACTCAAAATTACAAAATAAAATTCAAGTAAGAATATATAAGTGCAAAATTATGTAATACTTTTAGAGCAACTGAAAGAATACAGTAGCTAATGTAAACCTTAGGCCTTTAAGCTAATACAGGAAGTGTTTTTCCATCAACAAGAAAAACAGCTACCAGCAGCTCATTATGGTGTCCTTTCTGATGATGAAGAATTGAACATTTCTGTTGAAAACAGTGGATTTAGAAAGTCTGAATAGCCACTCGCTCTTCAGACTCTCCGGTGCCGCCATCTTTGTTTTGGGTCCAGACCATCCGGGTCGACCAGAATCTGGATTGGTCGACCCATTTACCTGTTAATTAGATCCAGTCTGTGGTTACTTTCACCGGGAGGAAGGTACCAAGTGCTGACGGGGGTGTTCGGAGCAGCCCGTTTCACAGCTAACTGCCAGTCTGCAGAGCACACCCCCCTGTTTTCACTGTCTTGGTTCAGTCCAATATGCTACAGGCAAGCTGCTGCTTTCAGGCCGTTTAATTTTTTCAGGAATGCACAGTTTTTATTGAATTTTTTTGAGTACGATGAAACACAATAAGGCAATTAAACACAATCTTTAGGTATATTTTCGATTAGTCAAATTTTAAATTAAAATTGTATTTTTATTTACTTTAATTTATTTTTTAGTGGAACTTTCAGGGTTTCTGTCTACAGAGACTTGCTCTGGTTGCTCACAGCCCGGGTCTCATCCGTCCCTGCTGTGTTCAGACTCCAGCCGGCTCTGAATGGAAAGCCTGGAAGACACTGGCTGGTTTCTTTACTTGTGCTCGCTGGAGATGGAGATGTCTGTCCCCTCTTTTCTGCGTTTTTTGTCCGCCTTTGTGCTGCTTTCAATGCTCTCTTCTTCACTTCCTGCACACCCCACCCTCCCCCTGTCTCCTTTTGTCTTCCTCTCTATGCCCCCCTCAGCCCACCCCCCTCTCTTTTCACCTTTGGGAGCTGAAAGCATCCGTCGTGTTTATAATAAAAGTACGGTAGAACCTCTAAATAGGAACTGAACTGGTTCCAGGACCGACTTCCCATCAGAATAGACTTTAATTCCTATAATCTCATCCAAAAACCTACGATAACTCCTTAATAAATACACATAGCTATAAAACAAATACATTATATAAGAGAGATGTAAAAAAGAAATAAATGATGAATAAATAATCAATAAAAATGTTTATTTTTCTTGGCTCTTTACCTCAGAGACTGACCGGAGGTAACCGTGGAGACTGACATATAGGACGTACCCTAACTTACTCTGACTTTCACTGCCTGAACTTTAAACTAACTTTATATTTTATGTGTTTTCGCTATGTAGATAATTTACTATAGGTGTCAAGTCGAATATTTGACCGAATATCCCTTCGTATGTTGGAATATTCCTATGTTTAGGCGTCATAAGTAGAGTTTCTGCTCTAGTAGTAAAGGCAGCCTTTAACAGATGTGATCTGAAATGGGGGAGCGAGTGGATGTGTCTGAGTCGGGCCGGTGATGACTGTTTTGTTTTGTTCAGACTGAGGAGAGAAACCGGCAGCTCCAGGAGAAGCTGGAGCTGGCCGAGCAGAAGCTGCAGCAGACCATCCGCAAGGCCGAGACGCTGCCGGAGGTGGAGGCGGAGCTGGCCCAGCGGGTGGCCGCCCTCACAAAGGTACGTCCAGCCCCGGGTTCCGACCGGAGGAGGCCCTCTTTCTGCCCCCCCGAAACGCCCCAACAGCTCTGTCTAAAGAATGTGTCTGTTCATGGTTCTGCATTTAGACGCTTTTATCCAAAGCGGCTCACAAAGTAGACACAGGGTTCCAATTTACATTTTTTGTCACCCTATAATGTAAAATATTAACAGTTTTTACAAAAAAAATTTTTACCATTAAGCATGCAAAATGTACATTTTCCCCCCCTAAAATTTGCAACATTTATTTTATTTTTTTTACCATAAAGCATGCAAAATTAACTTTTTTTCCTTAAAATGTGCAAAATTAATGTTTTTTACCCTACAATGTGCATTATTTACAGTTTCTACCCTGAAATGTGCAATATTTCCTTTTTTTTTAATACCCTATAATTTTTATGTTTTTGCATTTAGAGGCTTTTATCCAAAGCGACTCCCAAAGTAGACCCAATGTTCCAGTTCTCATCAGTCTGACAATGAGTTCTCTGGAGGAAAACCCCCAGTTAGAGTCAGTGGAGATAGAGGGAAGCACAGAAAGAGGAGTAGAGGGGGGGTTTTAGTAGACCTGAGACTTTTGGGGTTGATTGAATGTGCAATATTTACAGTTCTACCATAAAATGTGCAATATTTACTTTTAATCCTTAAAGGAAGTATTAAACTTTTCTAATTTTTAGGAACATGATCCTATCAGAAAGCCACACTGATGCCTTCGGGGGTAATTGGGATTTCAATTCTAAAAGTATTCTCTTTTGAGCCATTTTTCTCGCCAGTGGCTATCGCAGCGTCACCCCCAAATATAGATGTTAAAGGGCTAAACTTAAGAGAAACAAAGACACACTCGCAGGGAGTGGAAGGGAAAACAAAAAAGTACAAAATAATAATCCCTCTGAAAATGAGGCAGACAAAACAATGAACAAAGTACCAAATAATAATCTCTCTTGCGAGGCCGAAAACTGTGGATAAAGTTCAAAGTAATAACACTCGATAAGGAGGATGCAAAAAGGCTAATAAAGTACAAGATAATACTCACTCACTCAGGAGGAAAAAACTCTGGAACACCGAATAATCGTTCATTTCGAGGAAAAGGCAGGGGGGGATTTTTTTAAGTCAAGGGTCACGAAGAGTAGAGTCAAAATGCGAAACCCACTGGCCCAAGTTAAACGCAGACTGTGTAACACATGAAGGGAACCCCAGGGGACCACAGTCAGGGATCAGGGGGGACAATCAGACAGGTGACACACAGGGAAGTGACCCGAAACAAGAAGGGATGTACTCTTCAAAATAAAACAGGAAACGACAAGACCAAGACATGACGGAACACCCAAAATCCCCCAGGCGTGGCAGTTTTTGTGTTTTGGCAAACGGAGTTGTGTAACGGCTACCGGAGGGAAGCGGCTCGACCCGTCTGGGGGGCCGTGGTTTTCCCCTCATGGGGGCAGAGCGCGGGTCAAAGAAGACTGGGCTTTGACCGGCTGTTTTTTTGCCTCCAGGCGGAGGAGCGACACGGGAACGTGGAGGAGAGGCTGAGGCAGCTGGAGGCCCAGCTGGAGGAGAAGAACCAGGAGCTGCTGGGGGGGGGCCCCCCCCCCCCCCTTCCCCGGCCTCCGGGCAGCTTTTCCGTCTCGGGCCTGGCCAACCTGGTCCTGGCGTCTCTGCTAACATTCAACTCCACCCACAACCTCGCTCCCCCACATCTGTCTGACCTCACCCATGTTCCCACTCCCTCAGATCCTCCTCCACACACCTGTTTGTCCCCTTCTCAGTACCTTTTATCACCATCACGACTCAGAAACACCGACTCACTCCCCCATTTCAAATCACAGCTCTAAACGCATCTGTTTAAGACGCTTTTTCTGTCTGAGGCTTATGGATATCGCCATCGCCATTGTCTATTTTATTGATTTTGATTGTTTCTTTTAATGCGTTTTTGTGTATCTCTGTACGATGTCATCTAATAAATTGTATACTTATGATTCTCGAAGGCTCGACAGCGAGAGAAGATGAACGAGGAGCACAACCGGCGCCTGTCGGAGACGGTGGACAAGCTGCTGTCCGAGTCCAACGAGAGGCTGCAGCTGCACCTCAAAGAGAGGATGTCTGCCCTGGAGGACAAGGTGCCCGGAGCTCCGGCAGGGCGGGGCTCTGCTTCTGCCGCCGGCTCCCGGCTAATGCTGCTTTCCTCTCCTCAGAACGCCCTGATACGGGAGCTGGATCACACCAAGAAGCTGATCGAGGAGTCTCACCACGAGAAGGTGAGAGTGGTTGGATGGATGGATGTTTCAGCTGAGTGGACGGGTGTGCTGAGGCAGGAAAACGGTGGCCCAAAGCGACAGCTTAACGATGTCCCAACGCTTCTGTCTCTTTAGGAGCAGCTGCTCATCCAGATTGAGACGATGAGGGCCGAGAACGAGCAGGGACGGAGCCGGAGCAACTCCCTCCTGCACGGGTAAGAGGGTCAGCAGCAGCTGGTCACTGGCTGGTCTTCAGCTGCTGGTCATCCGCTGGTCGTCGGCCGGTCACCAGCCCGCCGCCGGCCTCGTTCTCTGGCCCCGCCTCCTCTGACCTGCTGGCCTCTTGCAGCCGCGCCCAGCTGGGCAGCACGCCGGACTTCAGGTACCCCGTGTCGGCGTCCTCCATGCTGGACAGCAGCTCGGAGCACTACGGCGGCGCCCTGGTGCTGCGCCGGCCCCAGAAGGGCCGCGTGGTGGCGCTGCGGGACGAGCCGTCCAAGGTGAGCCGCCCCCTGAGGCCATTCCTGACCCCCCTGTGCTGTCCCCTCTGGGCTGACCTCTGTGGGCTGACCCCCCCGTGCTGACCCCTCTTTTCTGCTTCTGTCTTTGCTTCCGTCTGGACTTCAGCGACACGTAAGTCTGCGTTTCCCTGCTCCCGCTCCAGCTGTTTTCCTCATCCTCTGCCTCCCCCCTGTGAGGGTCCCCCCCCCAAAAACCCGACCCCGCCCGCCCCCCTGTGACGCAGGTCCAGACGCTGAACGAGCAGGAGTGGGAGCGCATGCAGCAGGCCAGCGTGCTGGCCAACGTGGCCCAGGCCTTCGAGAGCGACATGGACGCCTCGGACCTGGAGGAGGACCGGGAGACGGTGTTCAGCTCGGTGGACCTGCTGTCCCCCGCCGGCCAGGCCGACGCCCAGACCCTGGCCCTCATGCTGCAGGAGCAGCTGGACGCCATCAACAACGAGATCAGGTGCGAGACGAACGGAAGCAGAGAGAAATGAAACTCCTGGAAAAGCAGAAAACGACCCCAGCTGTTGCTCCTCTTGAGTTCAAAAGGAGGCTCAAAGCACTGGGATTTTGTTACTTTTTCAATATAAATGAGAAAAATAGGATTTTTACTTTTCATTTTTATACTTTGAGACTGAATACTTTACTAAATATTCATTTTAGCAAAATAAGCTGTTTTTTATTTATTATTGTTTATATAATACTAAAAAGAAACTTTTACGGTAATTAAAAAAAAACTTTTTCAATCTATATAAGAAAATCATTTTTAAGTTTCATTTTTAGATTTTGAGACTCAATACTTTATTATTATAATTAGGGCAAAATTGATCATTCTGGTCCAAATGCTCATGTCAGGATGTTATGATTGAGCCATATGCACCCCCCCCCCCCCCCCCGGGACCCCGAGGAGAGGGAAAAAAAAGCCCCCCCCGCCGCGGAGGGGGAGTGCCGGGTGGGCAGCGGCGAGAGCCTGGGGGGGCGGTTCCGCTCCCTGAGCTCCATCCCCCCCTCGCTGTGCGCCGGCTCCTCGCTGGGCAGCTCGCCGCCCGGCTCCGGCCACTCCACCCCCCGCCGGGTCCCCCGCAGCCCCAACAGAGAGCTGGACCGGATGGGCGTCATGACCCTGGTAACACGGCCGTCACTCTCCGGGGCTTCACACAAAACGGCTAAAAGTCTTGTGACTTTGGTTACACTGTACAATAACCAGCATCTATAAATGCTCAATTTACCATTTATTTAGTAAATAAATAGATTTATAAATGGTAAACAGTTAAGTGTTTAACCATCATTTATAAACAGAATCTAGACTATTTAGAGATGGTAAATAAACTATTTATAAATTGTTAACAGTTTATTAATGTTTAACCATCATTTATAAATGGTAAATAGACATTTATAAATGGTAAACAGATAGTTTATTAATGTTTAACCATATTTTATAGATGCTATGAATTTAACCCGTTCAGCCCCATTGCCCTGGTACCAGGAGGGGGGGAGGTCCCATGTGACCTGACAAAGGAGAGGATACTGTGTATGATCCATTTAAATGGGGGGAGGAACATCTGTGTGGGGAAATCTTTGGAAAATCACCCAAAAATCTGATATTTTAGGTATTAAGATGAAGGAAAATCAAGGAAAAATCTGTTTTTTGGGTCTTCAGATTAGGGAAAATCCTTCCTGGGGGGGGGGGCTGGGCGGGTTAAAGCTGGTTCAGGAGTCGGTATTTGTGTTTACCAGTCCTAAAACGTCCCCTTAATGTCTGCCTGTGTGATCTGCCCCCGGCCCATAGCAGTATTGCTATGACCCCTGCATCATCCAGAGCTCCCTGTCTCAGCAGACGGTCACTTACCTCCCATACGGGGCCCCCGGCTTCAGCGCCCCCCCCCGGGCCTGTAGCTATGCGCCGTGCTTTCAGGTACCTGCAGGTCTCTGCCGGCTGTGTGCGGCCCCCCCCTCTTCTGGTGGCCTCCCGACATGTTTGCTGCCTCCTGAGTGCTGTGCTCTGACCGCGTCCTGTTGGGCGTCGGCTCCTTTAGTCCCTGACCGTTTAGCCGTGTGATGGACGGGGCTTCGACAGGCTGCCTCTCAG